TTAAGGGATCAGATGACTGGTGTGGCCGCAGCCCTAGTGGGATTTCTCAAGGAGGACAGGATGAGGAACACTCGTGCCCGGGGTAACCCTCATCAGACCAGGCCCCTGGGTGGGCCTGATGGGGTTCCTGCTGGCGTGCGTGACACCTGTGTTCTTCACTGCAGCTGGAAGACCATGAGTACAAGCCTTTGGACCCAAAAGACATCCGCCTCCCACCCCCCATGCCGCCCAGCGAGAGGCTGCTGGCGGCTGTGGAGGCCTTTTACAGCCCTCCGTCCCACGACAGGCCCAGGAACAGGTACGGGGCTCGGGGAGACTGGGGATACAGCTGGTGATGGGAGGGTGACCCTGTCCCTCTCCTGGCCTGACTCTCCCGAGTTTAGTTTATGGGAAAGACTCCACGCCTTCTGCCCAGGGTAGTGTGAGGTCCAGGTGCGGAAAGTGGTGGGCTATACAACGCTAGGCGTAGGGGCGCCTGGGTGGCTCGGTCGTTTGGGCGTCCGACTCTTGATTTCGGGTCAGTTCATGATCTCGCAGTTCATGGCCTGCCCTTTGCAGGGCCACAGGCCTGTCATCTGGGAGTCAGAGCTCCAGGTTCCCTGTTAGGAACATCGTAGGCCCTAACAGCCGTTTGAGCTGTTTGGGGAAACGCTGATGTGGAAAAGGCACGGGAGCCGGGCGTGCAGCCCAGCCTGACTGCTTCCCAGTGGGAGGCCCGGCCTCTCGGCCCGCTTCCCCGTGCGAAGAAGGGGGGCCTCTGCTCACCCGGGTGAGGGACCCTGCTCAGTGTCCGAATGAACGAGGGAAGGGAGGGCCGCACGCCCGGACGTGAACTTTCCCCAGTTGGGTGGGGGAGGGAGGCGCACGGAGTCACACGGAAGGGCCTGTGTCTTACAGCGAAGGCTGGGAGCAGAATGGCCTCTATGAGTTCTTTCGAGCAAAGATGCGGGCGCGGCGGAGGAAGGGCCAGGAAAAGCGGAACAGGTGAGCGCACGGGGGCCCGCTCACGGTCCACCCGCCTCCCCAGACCACAGCGGGGCCCTGCCTGTGCCGGGCAGACGCGCTGTCACATCCCGCCCCAGGCTGGCCCGTCTCCCCCTGGCAGGGGGCAGGGGGCAGAGGGAGGCCAGTCCGGCCCCTGCCCGGGCCTGGGGGTTTTTTCACGCGAGGCCCAAGTTAAACCTGAGACGCCAGCCCCGGAAGTTTGCCCGGGGTCTTCCCGAAAGCCGGGGGCGCTGCTCACCAGCTCTCTCCCTGCAGTGGACCCTCACGGTCTCGGAGCAGATCCAAGAGCCGAGGGCGCTCTTCCTCCCGCTCCAACTCAAGGTCGTCCAAGTCCTCGGGCTCGTACTCCAGGTCCAGATCTCGCTCCTGCTCCCGCTCCTATTCCCGCTCCCGCTCCAGGTAGGCAGGGCGCCGCCCGCGGACCGAGGCCCCTCCGTGGCGCCTGTGGCCCGTGGCCCCCGCCGACCGACCGCCCTGTCCTCCCTGCAGGAGCCGCAGCCGGTCTCGCTCCTCCCGGAGCCGCTCCCGCTCACGGTCCCGCTCCCGCTCCAAGTCCTACTCCCCGGGACGGAGACGCCGGTCGCGGTCCAGGAGCCCCACCCCGCCGTAAGATTTCTGTCTTAACTGTCCAGTGGCCGCTGGTAGCGCTGGAACCCTCTGATGCTTTGCTGTGAATGTTGAAACCTGTCGCTAGAAGACGTGCTCCCGGTGGCCCGTGCTGAGGTGGCACCTCGGGGACCCCGAGTTCTAGCGCGGTGACAGTGGCACCGCCTCGCCTCACACCACGCTCTTGCCTTTTTTGTGGTAACGCTGTAAAGCCTGAGGTGGCGCCTGGGCTGTGTCTGACCCTTCTGGGGGTTCCGTGTGACCTGCCCTCACCGCTCGCCGTGGGGCAGGGGCCGTCTTAGGGAGCTCCCCTACCTGGCTGGCGAAGATGACAAAGAAGAATGATAGAGACCCAGGATGTGTGTGTGTGTCCTCCTAACTGGTGAACCTTCACGTACGCCACACGCTGTAATATTCTAAGAGTTTTCATTCCAATAAATGTATCCGCTCGTTTTTAAAAAACGTAACCTGTCTTAATTTTAGTTCCTCGGCTGGTCTGGGTTCTAATTCAGCACCTCCTATTCCTGATTCAAGGCTCGGGGAAGAAAACAAAGGACATCAGATGCTGGTGAAAATGGGTAAGGTTCCTGGGAAGAACCACCACCCGCTCTGGGCCTTTGGGGCTGGGGAGCCAGAGAAGGTTCCGGCTCTCTGCCAGAACTTCTACGGAGGGCGAGCCTGCGGTTTTTGCTGGCCATTCTTTCTTACCTCATCAGTTACACGCTTGCCGACCACACACGTGCACATCATTCAGCTCTGCACACGGAGTCCTGTTTCACTTCACACATAAATGTGCCAGATTTCGGCTTTCGTGGGTTATAACCGCCCTCCCCCCTTTCTTCTTAAGGCTGGAGTGGATCTGGTGGCCTCGGCGTGAAAGAGCAAGGGATCCAGGACCCCATCAAGGGGGGGGACGTCCGGGACAAGTGGGACCAGTACAAGGGTGTGGGCGTGGCCCTGGACGACCCCTACGAGAACTACCGCAGGAACAAGAGCTACTCCTTCATCGCCCGCATGAAGGCCAGGGACGAGTGCAAGTAGGCGCTCTGCGGGCGGGAGCCACGCCTCGGCCACCGCGTTGGCCACCGGGACCTTCCTGGCTTACTGGCAGTGACAGATGGTAGGGACAGCTCAGTTCTCACACAGCCTCCATCTCTGGGGAGCGGCAGAAGAGAAGGAAGGCCACAGCCTGCCTAGTGACGAGCGCCATGCTCGATAGCTTGGAAGGCCCCGGGCCCCGCCTGCAAACCGCTCTAACGTAGAAGCACGACCCCGCCAGGAGATGCCCGGGCCCGCGCGGCCAGAGCCTGCTTCCCTTGACGGCGAAGTGAGAAACACGAGACCCTCCACCCCTGGATGAGAATCCCTGGCATCTTAAGGCACGGCTGTTTCGCACCTCTCCCCTCGGGCAGATCTGAGCTTCTGCTTAAAGCAGTAGGAGCGTGTGGAGGAGAGGCCCTGGGCGAGCGGCCTGGCAGCCTGGGAGCGGGTGTGGGGCCAGCCGACCCTGCCCGCCTGTGCCCCGCCGACGTGCGGTGGATGGGGAAGCTCAGGCCAGGCGCTGGTTCCAAACAGAAAAACAAACCCTTTTTGATTTGCAAAGTTACACAGGGTTCTTCTCGTTTTTACTCCAGGTCTTTAGTTTTGGAGAAGGGAATGTTGCTCTAAGAGGATCCCAGTGAGAATTTGAAACCCGATTCCTCTGAGACATGCTGGCCCTTAGTTCATTTATTTTAGTTGTTTGCGTTGAAATTTTTTCCCCAAACGTCAGCCGTTTGCTGTACCTGCAGAAACGGAGGTTCTGAGGACACGGACCTGAGGCACCTTCAGGTCCCAGAATGACACCCTCGGAGAGTCTGTACCCTTAGCGTCTCGGCCTGTGTTTTCCACTTAGAGGAACCCAACACCAGTGCTCGCGTGGACCTTCCGCTCCAGGGTGTGGAGGGAGACCCCTGGCTGTGCCTCCCGCTCCTCATTCCCCTTGCTGCCCCCCCCCCCCCCCACACACACAGCCACCACCATCGAGGGAGGTGAGGCCAGGAGGGAGCGGGGTCTGCTGGGCGACGCTGGGGACGGCGTGGGACAGGCCACGCTTGGCGTCTGTGGGCAGCTCGTGCGGTGCCGTTTATTTGTACAGAAACATTTTTGAAAAATTCTTTTCAATAAGATGCAAAGTCCTCTCCAACTTTTCAACCTGATGTGATAAAATATTTGATTTTGTTCTAGGTTTCCTGTAGCTGTGAATTGTTCAAACGTGTCTGATTCAGGATAAAACGTAAACACGTGCTGTTAACAATTTCTTGTGGATTTTACTGTTTTGCCTTCAAATAAAAACTTTTTTTAAAGACCTTTTTCTCTGCGTGTTCAAGTTAGAAGTGTGCTCCAGCCGAGTCGGGAGCAGGCGTGCCTGGAATGCAGAGACTGCGTCTGAGTCGTGCGGTCAGGTCAGGAGCTGCCCTGGCGCCTCATGTGGGTGTGCCCGGCCTGGACACCTGGCCCGGGCTCCTGCTTAGCAGACGGGGCTGTGGCCCCTCCCGTCTATGTCCACTCACTGGGCGGCCAGCACCCGGCCGGCACAGCAGCTCCGCGGGGCTCCGGACAGGCTGGCATTCTCCGTCCGGCCATGAGTGGTGACCACTCCACCCGTGGGGCCACTGCCACCGGCCCGCACGTCCCCTCGGGGGCCGGGTGAGTTCCACTACTCCGCTAAAGAAGGCTGGAGCTGGGATTCCACTCGGGTGAGTCCTCGGCACCGCCTGCCCCCTGCCACTGTCCCCTGGAAACCAACGTGTGTCGCAGCCGGTGTTCTGGACCCGCTTGTCCATTCAAACCCACGAATCCCGCCTCACCTCCGGTCCCCAGAGCTCCTCCTCCACCTCCTCCAGGGCATCCTCCATGGACAGCGGGGCAGGCCTGTGGTGCCTGATGTACTGTGGGGCAGAGGACAGGGGGCCGTCACCACCGCCACCTCAGTCCACTGAGGCTTTGGGTGCTGGAGGCAGCACCTGTCCCCAGTGGCTCCAGGGCAGGTGGGCAGAAAAAGACCATGACGCGAAGCCACGTGACAATGCTGTGGAAAGAAGAGGAGAGACAAACCCAGACAGGCTCTGGCCAAGGCACCTGCGAGGGATGCGCCCTGACTGGGTCTGAGAGGGAAGCGTGACCACGGCTGGGGGTGGGGGGAGCTAGGGAGTGGGGCTACCGGGGGCGCCCTCAGGGCACACGGGGCGGGCAGAAGGGCCCAGAGCAGGCCGTGAGGAGCCACGGGGGGCTATAGGCAGGTGACATGGTCAGATCACTTCAGCTGTATCCCACCAATCGATGTGTATGACCAACTGAAGTCAAAGAACCCCGTGGGGGTGTGATCATCAGAGTCCAGGATGCGGGAAACCGTCAAAGAAACAACCTGTTTACTTGAACAAATGAACTGCAAGGAAACATCAAAGAGATGGGGCAGGGGAAACCCGTAAGCAGGGGTTCTCAAAGTGGGTCCCCTGTGGGCACAAAGGGGAACACCCGCTCCCAGGCCCACCTCTGCTGCCAGCGGAACCCTGGTGGCCCTCGGGGTCTGATGCCGCTCCGAGCCAAGAACCACCGCCCTAAGCCCTAATCGGGAGGCTAAAAAGACCCCAAACATTCTTGATGCACAGGCTTTGGATTCTGAAGAAGCAAATAGCAACAAAATGTTCGACTTGCATGAGCCAAGTGGGAATCTACCCCTGGATATCCACCAATACTAAGAAAATAAAAGTTCATTTGGTTTGGGTGTTATAATGATACTGTGACCATTTTGTTCCAAAGTCCTTAGTTTTAAGAACTACAAAGCAAGATATTTGTGGATAAAAGGCCAGAAACGACCGTGCAGAAGTTCATGTGGTGTGATGCCATCTCTAGAAACATTATCATATCTAATACCTAGTATGCTATATATCTTACAACATATAGTATGAAACATACATAATATTGTGTATTTCATACATAATGTTCATATTTTACACAGGGAAAATCTAAAGAATATCGAATTCTCTCTGAAATTATGGACGGCTTTATAAATTACCCACCTCTGTAACAAAATTTTTACAAAATGAGAAGAAAATTTTTACAATCAAACAAAAATTAAATTTAGGGGGGAGTGAGAGGTGAGTGTGACAGTCTTGGCACTTCAGCCCACAGGACTGGGCAGAGCTTGGGGACGGGTCTGCAGAGGGACAGGAGCCCCCACCGAGGAGGTCCCCATTGCTCCAAGGTCACACACAGCCTAGCCAGCCGCAGCCCACGCCAGGCTGCCTCTCGCTGCCCCCGTCCCATACTGCTCTCGCCAAGGACGAGGACAGCTCCTTTCCCTAGGACTGTAGGTGACTGGGCCCACGGTGTCCCTGCTGCCCGGGCTGAGCCCTGTCCCCCTTCGCGTGCAAAGGCCCCTGCCCTCTCTCCCAGGAAGGGGGTGTGTGCTGCGGTCACCTGTTTGGTTTCCTCCAGGGTGTGGTAGTGGAAGGAGTCTCGGTCCAGGGACTGCAGGAGGGACACGTGCAGGTGTCGGCTGGCCTCCACGAACTGCTGCGTCAGGCTCAGCTGCTGCTTCAGCATGTCGTTGAGCGCCAACGCGGCCGGGCTGTAAGCTGTCAGGGCTGTACCAGCTCCGTGTCACTCCGCCCACCTGCCCGCCTGTCTCCCCAAGGGTGAGGCTCTGGGCCATCCACCCCCCCCCGCCCCCACCCCGCGCTCAGCAGCGTCCCCGCAGGGCCAAGGGGGGCTGCCCTCTGGAAGTGCTGCCACCAGAAATACTGCTGTCTGCGGGCTTGTGTGGGACCCTCAGGAGCTGCACGTGGGATGCTCGGCTCCCAGGCAGAAGCGGAAGCCTCAACTAAACGTCCCACCCGCGGGAAGAAGTCTAGGAAACCCCAAGTTCTGCAACCGCACGATGTGAATCCTGCTCGCACCACTGAGCTGGACACTGAAAACCGGGTAAGAGGAGGGGCGCCTGGGGGGCTCAGTCGGCTAAGCGTCCTGGCCCTTGGTTTCGGCTCAGGTCATGATCTTGCAGTTCGTGAGTTCCAGCCCCACGTCGGGCTCTGTACTGACTGACAGTGCGGAGCCTGTGTGGGATTCTCTCTCTCCCTCTGCCTCCCCCAACCTGTGCCGTCTCTGTCTCAAATAAACTCTTAAAGAAATGGGTAAGAGGGTAAATCCTGTTATGTATCTTTAAACATAAAACTAAAATACTTAAAATTAAAAATACAATTAAAGGGGCTCCTGCGTGGCTCAGTCGATTAAGTGTCTGACTCTCGGTCTCAGCTCAGGTCGCGATCTCATGGTGCGTAGGATCGAGCTGACAGCACAGAGCCTGCTTGGGATTCTCTCCCTGCCCCTTCCCTGCGTGCGCTGGCTGTCTCTCTCTCTCTCTCTCTCTCTCTCTCAAGAATAAATAAGTAAACTTTGAAAAATACAATTAAAAATAGAAATAAAAGTTTTATTTAAATTCAAAATATGTTGAAAAATGGAAGCTGTGTAACTGTTAGAAATGATCATTGTCAGACTACAAGAAAACAGAAAAATCTCTGAGATAATAGCAAGCTAAATGGAAGAGTTTTTTGAAAGGATACAAACATTTCAATTGTTACAACCTGTGCATTTTTAATGTCTTCATCTTTAAAAAAATTGAAAATGGCAGGGGCGCCTAGGCTCAAGTCGGCTAAGCAGTCGACTTCGGCTCAGGTCACGATCTCACAGTCCATGAGTTCAAGCCCCGCGTCGGACTCTGTGCTGACAGCTCAGAGCCTGGAGCCTGCTTCAGCTTCTATGTCTCCCTCTCTCTCTGCCCCTCCCCACTCATACTGTCTCTCTCAAAACCAAATAAACGTTAAAAAATTTTTTTTGTTTTTAATTGAAAAGGGAAAAAAAAACCCCAAAAACCCAAGTCCTAGATGGACCTTTGTTTGTGCCCTGTGAGCCACCAGTGGCCCCGTGGGGACCTGATGCGGCCTGGGCTCCCCCGGCAGCTGCTGGGAGGCCCTTCCCCCTGCCCCAGGCTGGACCGGGCCTCCCTAGGACCCCACAACTCCCCCAGACTCTGAAAGGAGTCCAGGCCTGTGGCCGCCACGCTGGCTCACACTCAGGACCTGCCGAGTGTCTTCAGGGGAAAAAGCACCATGTATTCTGGATGCAAAGGCTCAGAGGGGAGCGCGCAAAATAAAAGCAGCGTGGCGGGGGTGGAGGGCCTAGAGGTGTGTTACTCCCAACATTCCTGTCTTATCCGACACGGGCGTCCTTTGGCAACACGGACCAAAGGTTCTCAGACACCCAGTCTGTCGTCAGGGGTCCCAGGAATCGGGGCAGTTGCCTGTGACCATGTCACCCACAGACTCCCCAAACCCAGCACTGAAGTGGGGCAGCAGCCCTCCCGGCGGGGGCAGCCCTGCAGCTAAGATGCGTCCACTTCACCGCAAGGACCCGCTGAGCTGTACTGTTACCTTCTATGGAGTCCGCGCTGACGACGTGGCTGGCAATGGGCACAGGGTCCACGTAGGCACCTCCCAGAGCCGGTCCGACGGCCGCCACGCCGGGCCCTGTCCCGGAGACAAAGGGGGAGGGGCAGATGGGCAGGATTCAGAGTGACTTTCATCAACATATGAAATAAGCTACGCGAGTCTGTGCTTTCCTCTCCCGAACAGGACAGCCACCTTCTTGCTTTGTTAACCTCCTTTACGATCTCCCCAAACCTGCCTCCGTCTTTCTGGAGGCGTCTCCTGGTACAAGTCTGCTGAGCGGGCTCAAGCCATCACCGCAGTCCGTGACATCATGCCCTCGCCTCCTTCTCCCCTCCATCCTAGGGGCCACACGAAGGCTTCGGAATGTTCCCGGGACTCTGACAAGCTGGTTGATTTAGACTCCTGTTTTCCTCTTTCGGTATCAGGCCGAAAACGGCACCAGCTGGGTTTTACCAAAGGGCTCTTAAGTCGCAAAATAATACAGACAGAAACGCGCACATTTGTCAACAACAGGCTACGTTGTCAGGCAGCGGGAGGACGTGGAGAGGAGCACAGAGGCTTCTACGTCAGAACTGGGCCTCCACTACCCTCGAAGGCCTTCTAGTGATCTGACTTGGCACGTCTGACTGGCTTTCCTCCCCAAGAAATGAGAAAATGGTCACGACCCACCCCAGCGTGCAGCCCAGGCTGAGACACGGCTAAGCCCCCCTGAATCAAAATGAATACAGCAGGTGAGAGTGTTATACGCCCTCGTGCAGTCCAGGAATAACCCTGGCTACGCTGTGGGCAGCGACCTAGACGAGAAAAGAGAGTGGGGGGATGTTTAAAAGCAAGGGACCTTTCCACCCAGAAGGGCCAAGACTGAAACTGGAGACGAGACAGACGCCTGGAAACTCACACTGGCCATGAAGAGCAATGTCCCCTGCACCACAGAAGAGAATCCACCACAACACACCGCGCCGGGACCCCCAAGCCACCTGAGGACTCGCCGTCCCAGGTGGTGGTTCCACGCTCAGTGCCGTCCCCAGGCTCGCCCTGGGCACCGCCAACATTTGGGGCTGGGTCATCTCCTGGCAGGGCCAGCCTGGGCACCGCAGGACGTTGGGCAGCATCCCTGGCCTCCGCCCAGTCATGACAGCCCGAACTGGCTCCAACCTCGCTGAGGTCCCCCGGGGGCAGGCTCACCACAGCTGAGAACCTGATTCTGAAACCTTTCCAGATGTTTTAGAGCTCGGGGGGGCAGTCGGAGACACCCAGGGCGGCTGCCCCTCGTCCTTGGAAGAGGGAACGGGGCACCGAGGCCCCCCAGCTGCTTAACAATGACAGACCCTGAAGTCTTCGTCATGCTTCCAAGGATGCCCACGGCACGCGCCCTGGGAGCCAGCGCCTCCCCCCCGGGGCCCACACACTTACCCTCCACCCACTGGTAGGTGAAGGCGGGCTCGAGGGTCTGCACAGCCGTCTCCTTCATGATGACTCTTGTAACGTCCCTGACTTGCTTTTTCCAAGGTTTGAGCGTTCGCAGGGGAAGGTCTGTCTTCAGGCTTGCAGAGGATTCTGACAGAGTGTCCAGCGTCCTTTCAGGAGACTTGGAACGGGCCCTTGACTCGGATGCTGTCGAATGTGGGGATTTTTCAAAATCTTCTGAGTAAGCCGAGCTCACTGTGCTGGCCGTGGGCTCCTGAGACGTTGGCCTCGGGCTGGAAGCATCCTCAGGCCCGGCAGAGGAAGCCGATGGCTCGCTCAGGCACTCTGAGATCTCGCTTCCAGTGGGAGGGCCCCCTGCCTGGGGACTTTGGCTGGATGCCTTTTCCCGCTGCCCTTCTTTCTAAAGGGAGGGTGACAGAGGTCACGGGAAAGTGGTTTCGAACGATCAACACGCTCAAAGTACCACCGCATTAGAATGGAGTGCAGGGTACCTAGGGGGCCCAGCAGGGAAGGGTCCACGCTGGTCCTTCAGGGGTTTTGAGCAGGCCCAGTACCGTGAGCAATATTCTTGAGATGCTTTGGGGCTGCTGTATTTTAACACTGATGGTGTGAGCACGCTTAGGGGGCACGTGGTTGAAATCTGTTACAATGTCATTATTATGTATTATTAAAACAGTGCCTGCAAGTTCCATAGTGAGGAGGTTACTAATATGGCAAGAACCACAATGGGGCACTATGATGAGTACAGGTCAGTGTGGTGTTCTTATGGGGCAGTTCAAGGGGGACCCGCTTTTTTTCTTTTTTCTTTTTTTAAGTTTATCTACTATTTATTTTGAGAGAAAGGGACAGCATGAGTGGGGGAGGGGCAGAGAGGGAGAGAGAATCCACACTGCCAGCGCAGAGCCCCCACATGAGGCTCAGACTCACGAACTGTGAGATCGCGACCTGAGCCAAGGTCAAGAGTCGCACGCTCCGCCGACCGAGCCAGCCAGGCACCCCTAAGTGGGACCTGCTTTAATCACCTGCCACATTAACTAGCTTTATTCTGTTTTCACCTACATCAGGATCTCTCACCCGGGGCACTCCTGACATTTGAAGCCTAAACGCTCTTTGCAGTGGGGGCTGTCCTGTGCATTGCAGGACACTGAGCGGCATCCCTGGCCACCACCCACCAGACGCCGGCAGCAATCTCCACCCCAGTCACGATAATCAAAACTGTCTCCAGACCTGTCAAGGGTCCCCCGGGGGTTAGGCCAAGACCTACGGGCCTAAAGGAAGTACAATGCTACCAAGCGTCTCCATGTAACCTACCGTGAAAAATTAAGTTGGCTGTACTCACTTTCCGTTCCAAGTCTGAGTTCTCACTGACAGCTGGAGCCAGATCATCGAGGGATAAAAGATTGATTCGAAAATCTGTAATTAAAAATGCAACATGACATTCACTCATTTACATACCACACGGCATTTACCATTATGTCATAGGCACTGGGCTAAGTGCTAAGAATAGAAACACAGAAGCGTGCAGTCTTGGTCCTTAATAAGCCAGCACAGGGATCTACACGTGTTTTCCCTAACTAGTAAATGGTTTCCACTTTGCACCTGAGACTGTACCACAGTTAACTCAGCTCTGTCGTTATGGTGCAAAAACCACCACAGACCACGTGTAAACAAATGGATGGGGCTGGGTTCCAATAAAGCTTCATTTCGGGGCACGTGGGTGGCTCAGTCGGTTAAGTGTCCAATTCTGGATTGTGGCTGAGGTCACGATCTCACGGTTCGTGAATTCAAGCCCCTGCACCGGGCTTGCTGCTGTCGGTGTAGAGCCCCCTTTGGATCCTCTGTACCCCTTTCTCTGTACCCCTCCCCCCCCAAAATAAACATTTTAAGTGTTTTTAATGTTTGTTTATTTTTGAGACATAGAGAGACACAGCGTGAGTGGGGGAGGAGCAGAGAGAGAGGGAGACACAGAATCCGAAGCAGCTCCAGGCTCCGAGCTATCAGCACAGAGCCCGATGTGGGGCTCAAACTCACAGACCACGAGACCATGACCTGAGCCAAAGACAGACACCTAACCGGCTGAGCCACTCAGGCGCCCCAACAAATAAACATTTAAAAAAAAGCCTCTTTAGTTATAAAAACAGACACTGAGCCAGATGAGTAGATGACAGCAACACGGTAAAGAATGTGTGGTGCCAAGTGTGTGCAAGGTAGGGGGGGTGGGGTGTGGGACAACTCAAGCAGACATAAAACTAGACCCGAAGTGTCGTAAGTTCCCACTTAAAGCAAGTTAAGGGCACAGGAGCCCAAGGAGAACCAGCATTCGGCATGCCAGCTGGCCAGTCGCCAGTGCCTGAGACTTGGGAGTCTAGAATCCTCTGTGGAGTTCTGGTGTTCCAAACAGACCTCTGAGAACCCAACAGATGAGCCCACTCCTCTAGGTGGGTGGGCAGTGGACATCAGCCAAAGTTGGCAGCAACTTCTATTGCACAGTTCAGTTCAAGCCCTGAAACACGGGCAGGGGGCGGGGTGTGAGAGAGACAGAGAGAGAGAGAGAGAGACAGAGAGAGAGAGAGACAGAGAGAGAGAAAGTTGGTAGGAACAGGCAAGAGTGGGGTCCTCTGGGCAGCAGGCATAGGGCTGGAGGCAAGAGAGAGAGAGAGAGAGACAGAGGGAGGTCCACACCACCTGCCCCCCGCACCTGCCCATCCTAAGCCCTAGAGTGAATCCCCCCGTCACCCCAGTCCTGGGGGCTCACGCCTCCTCCGAGCTCTCTGCTTCTGTCACTGCCATTCACGTGGCAGGCAGGTCCAAAGACACATCCCTGGACAAAGCGTCTGAACTAAAAGGCGTCCGGCTGGCCCAGGGCAAAGGCATAGAGGTGATTCTGAACTTGAGCACTTGGGAACGGCATTGCCACTGGCCGAGGAACGTTACCGTCATGTAGGCCAACCCTAGCACGCACGCGCCTCCTGTAGCAGAGGGCCAGCTGAGGGGCTTCACAGCCACTTCTGTGGCTCTGCCCCCACTTGACGGATGAGAAAACTGAGGCACAAAGCGCCCGAGACTGCACAACCGGTAAGAGGCAGGGCCAGGACGCCCACCCAGCTACATCAGACTCAGAATGTGCTCACCACTGCCAGCTGCCTCCCTCCCTCGAAGCTACATCTGGACGAGGGAGGGCAGGGGCTGGCCACCAGGAGAGGCCCCTCCAGGCCAGCAGTGAGGACAGAAGGGCTGCCGGGACCGGCAGTGTGGACAAACAGCAGAAAGGGAGGAACCTGGGTCTGTCACCTGCCCCACCAGCCTACACCCGTCTTCCCATCCACATGATGAGGGAGGTGACGTGGGGCCAGGGGAGCAGGGACACCCACTTACCAAACTCTCGGGCCCAAGGATCAGAGCCACTGAGGGAGCTCAAAGGGGTGTCTCACGTCGGCAGCCAAGAGCCCATCCCCCTGCGTTCTCCGACCCTAACAAGGGCACCGGAAGAAACCACCCTTCATGGCAATACTTCCCCCCAAACCCCACCCCAATAGAGCTTCTACTGCTGACCTCCCAGGGCATGAATACCCACGTTAGTCTGTGATGGGATTCAGGACACGCTACCCCAAAATACAGCACCTTGGCCTACTGAATATCTCAGACGGGAGGGAACTTGAACATGGCACGCGCTGCAAGAATCCTCTGCCCTTCTCCCTTGACCTGCTGCAAGGGTCTCATGTGAGAAGTGATTCCCCCCCCCCCCCCCGCCGCCACCCAGAGGAAAGGAGCATCCCGTTTCCAAGACAGAGGGACCCCAAGAGGAATCACAGCAGGCCTTGCCAAGTCTGCCCCCATTTACCACCCTTAGCTCGTTTCCTTTTGTCTGATCACGTTTTTCCAGTACCTTCCACTCCTCATCGAGCCTAGAGTAAAAACGCTCACACACTTAACTGTTTTTTTTTTTTTTCCCAGGTCTGGTTTCCTTAGGAAGGCTCTGTGTCGCGTAAAACTTACGTTGAATATTTAACATCTATTTAATAACAGTATGCTTTTCTCTCAATCTGTCTTTTGTTGCAGAGCTCCCGCCAGGAACGTAGAAGGGTAGCAGGAAAAAGCTCTTTTTTCATCCCCTACCAGAGTCACGAGCTACGGGTCACCCAGCACACAGGGGGCAGGGCTTGTGTTGGCCTGTATGCTATCGTCTTCTTGCTAACACAACCCTTGGCACGTGCCAGTGCCCAGCAGGCCCTCAAGACACAGTTTAGGGGCGCCTGGGTGGCTCCGTCAGTTGTGCGTCCGACTTCGGCCCAGGTCATGATCTCACAGTTCGTGGGTTTGAGCCCCGTGTCGGGCTCTGTGCTGACAGCTCAGAGCCTGGAGCCTGCTTCGGATCCTGGGTCTCCCTCTCTCTCTGCCCCTCCCTGGCTCATGCTCTGTCTCTCTGTCTCTCAAAAATAAACATTAAAAAAAAATTAAAAAAATAAAAACATTTTAATTTGGGTCTCACAATGAAGCACCCCAGAAGGAAGACATTAAGTGTTGGGTACACATCTTTTCTCTTTCTCCTTTCTTTCTTAAATATGTGTAATATTGGGATAAAAATAATATTGAATAATTTGAAATAACAGAAGTGTCTAATTGTGACGGGTTAGAGATTTACTCCCTTTTCTGAATATAAAAAGGAAAGGAGGTAAATTCCTCTTTCACCAAAAGAAAAATCGCGTTGCCTTTTTGTCGTATGTGGCTCTAGGATTTTGTTTTCAGGTTATTGCTCTGTAATTGGTCAGGGTTACTGAATGAAAACACTAAAGACAGAACATGGCACAAAAACAGACACTCAGATCAATGGAACAGAATAGAGAACCCAGAAATGGACCCACAAACGTCTGGCCAACTAATCTTTGACAAAGCAGGAAAGAGTATCCAATGGAATACAGACAGTCTCTTCAGCAAGTGGTGCTGGGAAAACTGGACAGCGACATGCAGAAAAATGAACCTGGACCACTTTCTTACACCATACACAAAAATAAACTCAAAATGGATAAAACCCAAACATAAGACGGGAAACCATCAAAATCCTTGAGAAGAAAGCAGGCAAAATCCTCTTTGACCTTGGCCACAGCAACTTCTTACTCATCACGTCTCCAGATGCAAGGGAAACAAAAACAAACATGAACTATTGGGACCTCATCAAAAGAAAAAGCTTCTGCACAGCGAAGGAAACCATCAGCAAAACTGAAAACAGACGGAATGGGAGAAGACATTTGCAAACGACATATCAGATAAAGGGTTAGTATCCAAAATCGATAAAGAACTTATCAAACTCAACACCCAAAATACAACCCAGTGAAGAAATGGGCAAAAGACATGAATAGACACTTCTTCAAAGACGACATCCAGATGGCTAACAGACACATGAAAAAATGCTCAAAATCACTCATCATCAGGGAAATACAAATCAAAACCACAATAAGATACCACCTCACACCAGTCAGAATGGCTAAAAAAAAAAACTCAGGCAACAACAGATGTTGGCAAGGATGCAGAGAAAGAGGATGTCTTTTGCATTGTTGGTGGGAATGCAAGTTGGTGCAGCCACTCTGGAAAATTGTATGGAGGTTCCTCAAAAAACTAAAAATAGATGGGACGCCTGGGTGGCACAGTCGGTTAAGCGTCCGACTTCAGCCAGGTCACGATCTCACGGTCCGTGAGTTCGAGCCCCGTGTCAGGCTCTGGGCAGATGGCTCGGAGCCTGGAGCCTGTTTCCGATTCTGTGTCTCCCTCTCTCTCTGCCCCTCCCCCGTTCATGCTCTGTCTCTCTCTGTCCCAAAAATAATAAATAAACATTGAAAAAAAAAAACTAAACTAAAAATAGAACTACCCTACGACCCAGCAATTGCACTACTAGGTATTTATCCAAGGGATACAGGTGTGCTGTTTCAAAGGGACACATGCGCCCCCATGTTTACAGCAGCACTATCAACAACAGCCAAAGGATGGAAAGAGCCCAAATGTCCATCAATGGATGAATGGATAAAGAAGATGTATACATATATATATATGGCCAGAGTTCATTCTTTTTGATTGCTGAGTAATACTCCATTGTATATGTGTGTGTATGTGTGTGTGTGTGTACATATACATATATATATATATACATGTATATGTACACACACACACACACACACACACACACACACACACACACACATATATATATGGAGGGACCAAGTCTCTCTCTCTCACACACACACACACACACATATATACACATGTGTATATATATATGTGTGTGTGTCTGTGTGTATGCATATATATATATATATGCATACATACACACATACAATGGAGTATTACTCAGCAATCAAAAAGAATGAAATCTTGCCATTCGCAACTACGTGGATGGACTAGAGAGTATTATGCTAAGCAAAATTAGTCAGAGAAAGACAAATATCATATGACTTCACTCATATAAGGACTTCAAGACACAAAACAGGTGAATATAAGGGAAGGGAAGCAAAAATAATATAAAAACAGAGAGAGGGACAAAACTAAGAGACTCTTAAATATGGAGAACAAACAGGGTTACGGGTGGGGGGTGTGGGAGGGGGGATGGGCTAAATGGGTAAGAGGCATTAAGGAATCTACTCCTGAAATCATTGTTGTACCATATGCTAACTAACTTGGATGTAAATTAAAAGAAAAAAAAAAAAAAAAAGAGCAAAAATCTGACTTGGCTCTTCCACCAGGAAGGGGTGGCATGACCGATGCATTCCCCACGGCAATACCCAGTGACCCCCCCCCCCACCAGGGACCCTCTAGGTGGTCTTGCCCTTCCTGCCTAGGGTGACAGGTGGGCACAGGGCTATGGGTTACCATTCAGGCTGTCATCGGCAGCTTCTGAGGGCGACTGATCGTGAGGCTCAGGCTCACTCCTTCCAGGGGAGAGCTTGCCATGTGGCGTCATGGAGGCTGATTTTGAAAAGGTGCCAGTGATGGACAGTGATGCTGTGCAGGCGGCTGTGTCCCCTGCAGCGTGAGTCTGTGGGGAGCGAGCTTTTGAGCGCGTGCCGCGAAGGGTCCCGTCTGCTGACTGTGAGGCTGGCAGACATGATGTCCGAAATGGCTTTGGGCCGGGAGGTTCCTCACTGGGTAGTGAAAGGATTCTTGGTTGAGTTGGGATCTGATCCTACTTTGGCGGAAATAAATGAAATTAATTATCAAACAGGTGACAAGGAAGTCCTTATCACTGAATAATGCGGCCAGAGTAGGGCAGGCCAAGGATTGGCGATCAAAGAGTTCTCTCTCTCTGAGCCCCTTTCTTTCTCTCCCTTCATCTCTAGAAGTCAAGGTACAACATTCAGATGAGATAATATTGGGACTGCAGTGCAGAAACACTGCACAAATAATCAGAAATATCACATGGCTTTCAAACAAATTTGGTTAATTACACCGTTTCTAAATTAAGGCCCCTGAGTGCATGATCTAGGAAAGCCTGAGCCTGCAGCAGAATCAAAATAAATGGGCATATTTTTTTCCCCCTTAAAATGCAGCCTTTCCGTCACTTTATACCCACTAAGATGGCTCTAGTAACAAGTGCTAGCTCTAATAACCAGCGTTGGAGAGGGTGTGGAGAAACTGGAACCCTCGTGCACTGTGGCCGGGAATGCAAAACGGCACAGCTGCTTTGGAAAAGTCTGGCACTGCTTCAGTAAGTCACACAGAGAATTACCACAGGACCCGGTAATTCCACTGGTAGGGAGAGCCCCAAAAATTGAAAACAGGGACTCAAACAGATACGTGTATACAAATGCTCCTAACAGCACTATTCACAAGTAGCCAAAGGGTGGAAAAGACCCAAATGCCCATCAGTGGATGGTGGATACAGAAGATGTAGTATATTGACACGATGGAATATTACTCGGCCATGAAAAGGAAGGAAACACTGACTCATGTTACGATGTGGATGAACCTCGAAAACATTATGCTCAGAAAAGCTGCCAGTCACACAGGACCACGTACTGGATGATTCCGTGCATGTGAAATGTCCAGAACAGGCAAATTCACGGACACAGAAAGCTGATTAGTAATTTCCAGGTGCTGGAGGGAGGGGAAAACAAGGAATGATCATTTAACAGGTACAGGGTCTCCTCAGGGGTTGATGGAAACGTTCTGGAATTAGACAGAGGTAGTACACTGGCACGACATCACGAATGGACTAAATGGCACTGAACTGTTTGTTTTTAAAATGTTAATTTGAGGGATGCCTGGATGGCTCAGTCGGTTAAGCATCCGACTCTTGATTTCAGCTCAGGTCTTGATCTCCCGGTTTGTGGGTTCGAGCCCTGAGTTGGGCTCTGTGCTGACAGTGTGGAACCTGCTTGAGATCCTCTCTCTCCCTCTCTCTCCGTTGCTCGAGCGCTCTCTCTCTCTCTCTCTCTCTCTCTCTCAAAATAAATATATAAACTTTAAAAAATAAAAAAGGAACGAAAGTAAAAATGTGGATTTTAGATTATGTGAATTTCATCTCAATTTTGAAAAACAGAAACGCAGCTGTCGCAAGTTTCCTGTGCGGCACCACGATCCGTCATACAAAGTGCAGGCCTCTGCTGCACACACTTACTCCAGATATTGCAAAACTGCCTAATGTCCCAAACCCTGTCACCTCGCGGCAGGCCCAAAACAGGCAGCCGTGATTGGCTGGAGCCCAACGGTTCCTTGTCAAATCCCTTCCTCAAGTAGCTTACGGGTGACGGCTGCTGTCAACCCTTTATAAAGCGCTGTGACACAGAGTGCAGACGCGAGGCTTGGTTAAGAATAAATACACGCAGGGGCACCCGGGTGGCTCAGTCGGTTAAGCTTCCAACTTCGGCTCAGGTCATGATCTCACGGTTCATGGGTTCAAGCCCCGCGACAGGCTCTGTGCTGACAGCTCACAGCCCGGAGCCTGCTTTGGAGTCTGTGTCTCCCTCGCTCTCTGCCCCTCCCCCACTCACATTCTGTCTCTCTCTCTCTCAAAAATAAACATTAAAAAAAAACAAACAAAGAATAAATACATGCAGGGAAGGCTGGGTGGCTCAGTTGGTCAAGCTTCCGACTCTGGCTCAGGTCACGATCTCACAGTTCGTGAATTTGAGCCCCGTGTCGGGCTCTGGGCTGACAGCTCACAGCCTGGAGCCTGCTTCGGATTCTGTGTTTCCCTCTCTCTCTCTGCCCCTTCCCTGCTCATGTGTGCTCGCTCCCTCTCTCTCTCTCTCACAAATAAATAGTAAAAAAAAAAAAAAAGAATACGTAAAAACTTACCGAGAATACTTTTGTTTGTTCTTTCTCACTGACTTTGGAGCTGACGAAACGCCGATTCGTGTATGTTTCTTTTTCTCTAGAAGATTCTACCAAGCCTCCTAGCAACTCTTTCATTTCCTCCTCATCGCTGTCTGGAGAATCTAGTTTTCTAGTGGGTTTTTTCTCTTTGGGTGTTTGAAAACTCCTCTCTTTTCCACAATGTGTTTCAGGGAACCCATTTTCAACGCGTGGTTCCCTCTTCTTTAGAAACCTACTGACCTTCCCACTCTGTGTGCCGCTCCCGGCCGTGGGAGTTTCATGGGCTTGTTTCTGGGTTTTCTCTGGGCCGTGTGAGGAAAGTCCGACTGTGCTCCTGGGAAGGGCTGTATCTGCGCTCCTCGGAAGACTGTCCTCGGGGGTCTTCAGGTCAGATTCCACATCAGACAAATCCGCCTGAGCTTTACGATTCATGATCTTGGTTTCCAGCTGAGCCAGTTTTGTGAGCGCAGCGCTGGCCCTGAGCTTCGAGGCAGTGATCGGGGGTCTCCCCGAAGACACTCTGAGCCCACCCTCCACAACAGCATTCTCTTTCGGGAGTGAGTATTTTACACCCATAGTTTGGTGTCCTTTGAGAAATCTGCTGCGGCCGGGTGCTACTTGGGTAAGACTTCTACCGATTTTCAAGTTTCTGATTTCTTCCATTCTTGAATCCTCTAAGGAAAGATCACTAAAATCACCAAAAATATTGCGCGTGGGATGGCCGGTTCTTCTTCTGGAAGCCATTCTGGGGGGGGGGGTGGTGAAGAAAGAAAACTTAGAGTAAGAATACCTACCTGGTGTTCATACCATGCATTCAAATCTCTCAAGGCCTCCCATTTTATTTACTTTAAGTTTATTTGTTTTTGAGAGAGACATACACAGCGAGGAGGGGAGGGGCAGAGAGAGAGAGGGAGAGAGAATCCCAGGCAAGCTCCACAAGGTCAGCACGGAGCCCGCTGTGGGGCTCGAACTCACAAAACTGTGAGATCATGACCTGAGCCGAAACCAAGAGTCAGTCGCTTAACTGACTGAGCCACCCAGGCGCCCCTCAGCACCTCCCATTTTAAAGATCAAATCTTTCTTTGCAGTCTGCCTGAAGCGCTCCCTTCAAGCCCCATGATGTCAATGAAAACGTCAACACCCAGTACCACCGGCTGAATTACTGTTCGATGCCAGGTCTTTTTTTGACATTTATTTAAATTCAAATTAGTTAACACGTAGCGTGCTATTGCTTTCAGTAGGATTTAGTAATTCATCGCTTACATATAACACCCCGTGCTCATCCGAACAAGCGACCTCCTTAATGCCCATCACCCATCTAGCCCATCTGCCCACCCGCCTCCCCTCCAGCAACCCTCAGTTTGTTCTCAGCGTTTAAGAGTCTCTTATGGTTTGCCTGATGCCAAGCTCTTAAAGGAGACACGTTGCACGTCAGACAGAAGAGCCAGTGCCTCTCAGCCTCCAACAGTGAGCCCGGCGCTCTGCTCAGAGCTGTATTATCTGTTTTAATCCTCATGCAACCTTGAGGCAGCTAGTGTCACCTCCCCCCGCCAGCTCCCGTTTTAAAGAGGAGGTGAAAGAAATAAAAGCACCTGAAGGTTAGGTCACCGGTTAAGGTCACCGGTCAAGGTCCCCTGGCTGGTGAGCAACAGAGCCAAATTCAAAGCTCAGGTCCGATTCCAAAGGCCCCCTTGTTCCTGACAGAGCTCCACTGCCTGGCCAGTGACACGACCACTACTCCAAGAGTCCTGCTCCCCACTGGCTCCCCACATCAGCGCTCCTCCTTTATCCAAGTATCCTCAGCTCTCTCACAAGGAACTGCTTAACATCAGCCTGTGTATTTAAGGACCCTCCCCTCCGCAGAAAATCTCACTTCACTTTAAGGGTAAGACCCACCTGGGGCGCCTGGGTGGCTCAGTCGGTTGAGCATCTGACTTCGGCTCAGGCCGTGGTCTTGCAGTTTGAGAGTTCAGGCCCCGCGTCAGGCTCTGTGCTAACAAACAGCTCAGAGCCTAGAGCCTCCTTCGGATTCTGTATCTCTCTCTCTCTCTCTTTCCCCCTCCCCTGCTCATGCTCTGCCTCTCTCTGTCTCTCAAAAATAAATAAATGTTAAAAAAATTTTTTTAAAAATAAAGTTTGAGGGTAAAAACCACGGCCCTGGAAGGGTGGAGGGGCTACAGACGGACACAGCAGCACCCACCCAATGTTGATCACGTGTTGTGCGCACACGTTGGTGAACAGCCTTCAGCGGGGGAAACCACTGCTCGTTTCCATCCTGTTTGAGTGTTTTAACAAGGCCAAGTGTTATTTTGTTGTTTAAAAAGAATTCACTGTGAGACCTGAAGGAGCCTTTTTTCCCATCCCTGTCCACTTGGAAAACAATCTTACGAGGATTACCAGATTAAATACAGGACACCCAGGGACGTGAATAAGATAAAGACTAAATAATTTTTTTTAAGAGAGAGAGCATAAGGAGGGTAGAGAAGCAGAGGGAGAGAGAGAGAGAGAGAAAGAATCTTTTTTTTTTTTTTTTTAAGTTTATGTACTTATTTTGAGAGAGAAAGCAAGAGCACACACACACGAGCAGGGGAGGAACAAAGAGAGGAGAGAGAGAGAATCCCAACCAGGATCTCACTGTCAGCACAGAGCTGGACACAGAGCTCGAACCCGCAAACTGTGAGATCATGACCTGAGCCGAAACCAAGAGTTGGACTCTTAACCAAGTAAGCCACCCTGACACCCGGGGTGAAAGAATCTTAAGCAGGCTCCATACTCAGCACGGAGCCGAATGCGGGGCTCGATCTCACAAGCCTGGGATCATGACCTAAGCTAAAGTCAAGAGTCAGACGATCAACTGACTGAGCCACCCAGGTGCCCCAATAATTGTTAAAATAGAAGTATGACCCACATATTTTTATACTAAAAAGTAGTATGTTCCAAATAGTTTCATACTAAAAAATTATTGGTTGTTTATCTCAAATTCAAATTCAACTGGGTGTCCCATACTTTTATTTGTAAAATCTGGCAACCGTCTGTCTTATGCACCTTTCAAAGCTGAACTCAGGGGCACCGAGGTGGCTCAGTCCATTAAGTGTCTGATACTTGATTTCAGCTCAGGTCACGATCTCACGGTTCGTGAGTTCCAGCCTGGCATCGGGCTCTGTGCTGACACCATGGAGCCTGGTCGAGATTCTCTCTCTTCCCCTCTCTCTGCCCCTTCCCTGCACTCGCTCTATGTCTGAAAATAAACAAACTTATTAAAAAAAAAAAAAAAAAAAAAAAAAAGCTGAACTCAAATGTTTTGTGAGAGGAAAAACATTGAACCCAGCCCTAAGATTCTGTCTGCAGAAGAGTGAATCGTTTTTCTTTGACTCTGTTTTTCTGCGTGGCGTTACCTGCTTGCTCATCCCCATCTGGGTACTTAGAGCGCCTCGCACAGGCCTGACCACAGGGGTCAGTGAAGGCAAAACCAACCACACCTGACAGAAACAGTGCAGGAGTCCTAGCCTGTGTGATGCTGGGCAAGTTACTTGACCACTCTGTGCTTCGGCTTGCTCATCTGTAAAACGATGACAATTATTCCCTTCATAAGATTCCGATGTTCATTGTAGGACATGGAAGAAATGGTAAGATTTAGATAATAGTGTTTGGAATACCTGCATTAGCGGGCTTTCAGCAGGGAGGACGTGGTAAAGAGGAAGTAGAGACTGCTGGAACGTCAACAGCTACCTTGGTTGATATTTTTCTAACCGAGGCTCAGGAGGTGACTCAGCCCCCACCATTCTGTGGGTCAGAGGGAAAGCCCGACCACCAGGCCAGGTTTAACAGCATCTAGTTTTTCTGAAAAGTCTCCCTAGGTTTAAAAAGAAATCAACAATGGTTACAACGGCAAGTTTTATGTTCTATCCGTTGCATCACAACTAAAATCGATATATTTTTAAAACACAATTAAAAACAAACCTATGGGCAAAGGATATGAACAGATACCTCGCTGAAAAAAAAAGAAAACATACAAATGGCCAATAAGCACATGAAACGATGTTCAACATCACTAGCCATTAGGCAAATGCAAATCAAAACCACCAGATCCCAGTTCACAGCCGCTAGAATGCCTACAATCAAAACCACAGATGGGGCGCCTGGGTGGCTCAGTCGGTTAAGTATCCAACTTCGGCTCAGATCGTGATCTCATGGTTTGTGAGTTAAGCCTGAGTCCGGGCTCTGTGCTCACAGGGTGGAGCCTGGAGCCTGCTTCAGATTCTGTTTCTCCCTCCCTCTCTGCCCGTCCTCCACTTGCATTCTGTCTCTCTCTCAAAAATAAACATCAAAAAAAAAAATAAATAAATAAATAAATTAGAAACTGTAGATAATAACAAGTGTTGCTGAGGGTGTGAAGAAATTGGTGCCCTCATACACAGTCATGGAACATTACAATGGTACAGTCACCAATTTGGAAAACAGTCTGGCAGTTCCCATGTAGCCAAAGGTGATTGAAATGTATGCAAATGTTCATATTAATTATTATTCATAGTAGGCAAAAAGTGGAAACAACCCAAAAGTCCATTAACTAGTGAATGGATAAGAACCGAGGTCCATCCATCCAATGAAATACTATTCAGCACTAAAGAAAAGAATATGGATACATACAACAACATGCATGCATATATCTCGGACACATCATGCTAAGGGAAAGTAACCATATACTGTATGACCCCATTCATAAGGATCATCCAGAAAAGGCAACTTTATAGTCAGAAAGCACATCAGTGGTTGCCTGGGGCTGGGAGTAGGAGCGAGGAGGGACTGCAAAGGGCCAGGAGTGATATCCTTGGGTAGACAGAAAAGTTCTAAAGCTGGATCTTGGTGACGCTTGCCCCACTTAGTAAACTTATTAAAGTAACAGAGTTGTGCACTTACAAGGGGTGGATTGTACGGTAGGTAAACGCATCCTCAATAAAGTTGTTAAAGATAAATAAACCTAACTTTGAACACACAGGCGCCTCTCACCCCATCGGGCTCTTCCCACCCCCCTCAACTGCCCCCCCCCCCCCACCGGCCTGGAGCGACCCACCCCGGACCACGATCCCAAATGGGCCCCGACGGGGAACCAGGCGTGAGGCCCCTACCCTCCCTCAGCCCGACAAGCCCAGCTCCAGAACGTTCCCCATTTCCCGCAACTCCTCTCCCAAAACCGGTCGCCAAGCCCGGCAGCAACGGGGCCAACCCCGCCAACCTCCTCCCACGATGTCCATCCGCAGAGGCCGTCGCTGCGCTCCCAGCTAGACACTCCGGCCGGATGGGACCGTTGCCCCCGGCAACTGCGCCAGGGCGGAAGAGACTACATATCCCAGCGCGCGCCGCGCCCCGAGGACCAATGGGGCCTCACGTCATAATCGCGGCGCGCCGGGAGGGTGGTAGTGCCTGGGCGGGCCCGGCGTGCACTGCGCGGTAGGGGCCAATGGTGCCTCAGGTCACAATCGCGAGGCGTGACGGGAGTTGTAGTCTTGGGACGGTCTGGCACTTCGCCGAGACCGCTGGGAGCAAAGGGGCGTTGCAAGAAGTGCAGCGCGCACTCTATGGCTGTGGCTCCCGTTCCGCTGTGGGCGGTCTGCGTGCTGCGGCTGGCGCTGGCCACCGTCTACTTCCAAGAGGAATTTCTAGACGGAGGTGAAAAGGCGATGTCCGTGGTGGTGGGAAAGTAGGGGCGAAAGCTCCTCCATCCTTGGCTGCCCAAAGGATAGCGAGAGTCGCCATTGGCACCAGCCCATCGCCGCGGGGTCGGTGGTGGAGAAGCATTGAAGCCTCGAGTCCCCCGCCTCCCCCCCCCCCCCGCGCGCGTGCGCTCACACACACACACACACACACACACACACACACACACCTCCATGATTCAAATGAACAGTCTCAGCTCTAACCGGTGTTGTTTCCCCCTACAGAGCGCTGGAGGAACCGCTGGGTGCAGTCCACCAATGACTCCCAATTTGGGCATTTTAGACTCTCGTCGGGGAAATTTTATGGTCATAAGGAAAAGGACAAAGGTTAGTGTAGGAATGGTGAGAAAATGGAGCTAAATGTCAAACACACACGCCTCACCTCCATAGCAACCTTCCGAGGTAGCTGTGGCACACCCATAACACCTCTTACAGCCGTTTCACGGGTGGGGAAGCTAAGGCTTGGATAGGGCCTGGCATTACTTTTTCTCTTTCCTTTCTTTACTTGCCCAAGGTCGCTCCATCGTATACCCACTAGTGGCAGAAGTTTGGAGACTCCAGGTCTTTGACCTGCAAAAGGAAAAAGATTAGGGGATACTTCTCATGTTTATTTCCACTTTAAGAAGGAGAAAAAAGTCGACCTAAAAGTTACATGCTGTCAGGTGTATAGATCGTAGGGGTATAGAAAGATGAGTGTTTACATTTGTACGCCCTGGATCAGATAGAGAATGTTTTCAGAGCCCCCACCCCCTTGCACTGCCCATCCCCCAAGTCAGTAGCCTCCTAGTGCCAAGGATAACTTCTGTCTTCTTCTCATTTCTGATGTTCAAACGTGGACAAACTACACACTTGTTTTTTGCACGGCTGGTGAGATAAGAATGGCTTTTACATATTTTAATTGTTGGGGGAAAATCAAAAGGGGAATGGTATTTTATAATGTATAAAAATTACATAAAATTTAGTGAAACATATGAAATGTCAATATCCATAAGTAAAGTTTTAATGGAACACAGCCATGATCATTCATTGACTTAGGTTCTTTGGCCTTTTGCATGCTGTAAAGACAGTAAGTTGGCACACAGACTGTATGACCCGCGAAGTCTAAAATACTTGATCTCTGCCTTGGCAGAAAAGATTGGCCAACCTCTGGTTCGGATGAAAAGTTTTCCTCTTTTCACCAGCCTTCCACTCCACCTCTGTCTTGACTCCGCTCCTCCGGTGTTGTCCTGTCGGTAGCTTCTGGTTTTCTTTTCTTTTCTTTTCTTTCTTTCTTTCTTTCTTTCTTTCTTTCTTTCTTTTTTTTTTTTTTAAGTTTTTTAACATTTATTTATTATTGAGAGACAGAGCATGAGCATGGGAGGGGCAGAGAGAGGAGGAGACACAGAATCTGAAGGAGGCTCCAGGCTCTGAGCTGTTAGCACAGAGCCTGATGCGGGGCTCGAACTCACAAACCCAGCGAGGTCATGACCTGAGCCGAAGTCAGACGCTTAACCAACTGAGCCACCCAGGCGCCCCAGCTTCTGGTTTTCTATTGCATGTGCATTGTGTTTTAAGTTACACGTGGACCGAAAGAGTTGGTCACGATTCAGCCCATGGGACAAAAATGGAGTGAAATTAACAGATTGTTTCATCAAGGTTGTCCAAGGATAGGGGTTTCCATTTGGGTTTTTCCGCACCACATTTTTTCCTCCTCCAATCTGGCATCCTGAGATGCTGTGTTTCGTTCACTCCAGCACACATTTAGTGAGAGCACATGGGCAAGGCACTGGGGATACCCATTAGTTTGGCCCCTTTCATTGTGATCTCCAAGGACCATCACACAGAAGCCATAGATGGAAAGATGAATAGAATTCAGTCAGACAGAAATGGGAAGAGGTGAGAGACGATGGGGGTGGCCGAGGAGGGTGGAGGGACGGAGAGGTGGTGAATCTTGGCCTTAGGAATTGCCTGGGTGGTAAAGGGGTAAAGGAGGGGAGATCCTATGAATTCTTTGAGAAACGGAAGGGTGGGGGCGGGGAGAGAATGGAGGAGAAAGAAAGAGAGGAGTGTGGTATGGGCGGTCAGTCATGAGTTCAGGCTTGGACGTATCGACAGAAAATGTCAAGTGCATTTATGATGGATCTCTGCATAGGCAGGTTTGGGGGCAGGAATGTGGAGCAGGGAAGACTAGATGATAATAAGACTGGCTCCGTTTTCAATAGTGTAAGATAAGGATTTGGTACAGAGCCTAGTGGCTACTGAAAAGGTGGGGGGGGGGGGTTCATCTTGAACACCTAAACTTCTAAAATATGAGGTGATTCATGTGACAAAAGGGTGGTATCTTTATAAAAAAAAAAAGGGGGGGGGGCGCCTGGGTGGCTCAGTCGGTTGGGCGGCCGACTTCAGCTCAGGTCATGATCTCGCAGTCCGTGAGTTCAAGCCCCGCGTCAGGCTCTGTGCTGACAGCTCCGGGCCTGGAGCCTGTTTCGGATTCTGTGTCTCCCTCTCTCTGACCCTCCCCCATTCATGCTCTGTCTCTCTCTCTATCTCAAAAATAAATAAACGTTAAAAAAAAAAAAAAAAAAAAAAGATGGCAACTGTGGGCCAGCTCATCCAGGGCAGGGAAGCACTTTTTTTTACAGGTCAGCACTCTGTTCTCCATCCACGGTCGTGTGTCCTAAGCAACTCTTTTTTTTTTTTTTTTTAATTTTTTTTTTAACGTGTATTTATTTTTGAGGCAGAGAGAGACAGAGCATGAACGGGGGAGGGTCAGAGAGAGAGGGAGACACAGAATCTGAAACAGGCTTCAGGCTCTGAGCTGTCAGCACAGAGCCCGACGCGGGGCTCGAACTCACGGACCGTGAGATCATGACCTGAGCCGAAGTCGGACACTTAACCGACTGAGCCACCCAGGCATCCCCTAAGCAACTCTTTTAAGACAGGAATGAAAGAAAAGACGTAGGATGCTCTGGTTTTTAACGAAGTTGCCGCACGAGCTTTATTGTGTGTTTCCACCCCTTGGAGGATGAATGGAAGCAAAATTAACTCCTTATCCACTTAGACTGCACATTTGTCATCTACAGCTGAAATGTTTCAATTTAAGACACAACTGGTAATACTGAGCACAGAAACAACGGGGTGTGGAAATAGAAGGTTTCTGGCAGCAGAGAGACTGTTAGTGGTATGGCCATCCCATATTATTGTGAAGGTGTGTGTGAGGCCCTGGGCTGATGTGAGTGGTTATTCCTGGGGGCAGGGGGAAGGGTGACCATTTAATTCCCTGCAGCACTGAGTGCACGTGCCATTCCTAATCCTTCACGAGTCCTTTTTGTTTAAAGGTCTGCAAACCACGCAAAATGGCCGATTCTATGCCATCTCGGCACGTTTCAAACCGTTTAGCAACAAAGGGAAGACGCTGGTCGTTCAGTACACAGTGAAACACGAGCAAAAGATGGACTGTGGAGGGGGCTACGTTAAGATCTTCCCTGCAGATGTGGATCAGAAGAACCTGAATGGAAAATCTCAGTACTATATTATGTTTGGTGAGTTCAGATAGCACAAAACAACCATTTCTGATGACTTTGAACCCTTCCACTTGATAGAATTCCTCAGAGCAAGACTTTGCTTCAGTAGTAGTGTTGAGTATATCCAACCAAAGGTTTTTAGTACCGTGAAACCTAATTAACATTATAAAAAGGCAACTGTACCATTCTATTGTACTTTTTTTTTTTAATTTTTTGATGTTTGTTTATTTTGAGACAGAGAGAGACAGAACATGAGCAGGGAAGGGGCAGAGAGAGAGGGAGACACAGAATGTGAAGCAGGCTCCAAGCTCTGAGCTGTCAGCACAGAGCCCGACGTGGGGCTCGAACCCACGAACCGTGAGATCATGACCTGAGCCGAAGTCGGCCGCTTAACCTACTGAGCCACCCAGGCACCCCTCTATTGTACTTTTGAGAGAGTTATTTATGCGATAGTAATGTAGTCCCAAGTATTTGAAATACATCAGGACTCAGCAGACTTTGGCCACGGGCCACATCAGCCCACGGACTGTGTTTGTTACGCCCCATGAGCTGAGAATGGGTTTTAATGTTTTTAATGATTAAAAAAATTAAAAGAAGGCTAATATTTTTGACACATGAAAATGGTAGGAAAGCCAAAAACATTTCCTGCCTAGCCCTTGCTGACCCCTGGAACACATTAAATATCTCCTGATACCAGGAGTAATTGATTGAAATTTGTGCTAGAATTGGCATGGGACCACATTGGGCCACAGGAACTGGACATAACTGAAGCGTGTGGGTTCAAAAAGTTTTCAGGATAAAGAGGATTCTGGGAAAATGGAATAGGACGCACCAGGAATCCATCTCCCCACCTGGACAAAAATCAACAGAATATGATGTAACTATTTTGGAACTCTGAAGTCTGTGGAAGGATTGCTTCTTCCAGGGGAAGAATGGGAAGGTTAATGTGGGGCAATTTCAGCTCTTAGCACAGGAGACCTACCCATCCCCCATTTCAAGCCACACGGCAGACAGCTGTGCATGTGCTCCTGGAGCAGCCTATACACAGCTCGCCACAGCCAGGGTGGGCAAAAAGGACCCTGTCCTCCCAGTATCAGGGATCTGAACTCTGATCGCTGCTTCT